GGTAAGCCTAACAAATTTGCGGAAAAAGAAATAACAGAATAAAACAAATAAAAACTTGCGAAATAGACATAGTGAAGGTTTAAAGCAAGATGCCGCTCGGCATATGCAATACAACTCTCAAACTGAAACTACATTTTTCCCAAAACCCGGAATCTCATGAAATCACAAGCTGTGGAATAACTACAGTGTTCTACCTCCAGAGTGTCTAAACAAAAAGAAATACAGAAGGGCTAATGCTACGAGAGAGAATGGAAAGGGACTCCTCGGTCTGCGGACGCGGCAGACATACCTCGAAGTCTCTGATGGATCACCCCGCCTCAAGGATAGTAGGGCCGAGTCGAAGTACCTGGATCTGCACATGAAAAACATGCGCAGGAAAGGCATGAGTACACCACAGCGGTATTCAGTAAGTGTCAAGCCTAACCTCAGTCGGGTAGTGACGAGGAAGGTCAGGGCCCTACTGATTATAGCTGAAAAACGAGGTAAAACAGTATAGAATACTGTATGGGTCAAAATTAGACCAGAGAAATTCGGCACGCAAAGACATAAGGCCAAGGTCAGACAGGCCAAGGTTGGACATGCCGAGGTCGGACAGGCTGAGGTCTGACAGGCCAAGGTCGGACCGTTATCTGGGTCAAAATTAGACCAGAGAAATTCGGCACGCGAAGACATAAGGCCAAGGTCAGACAGGCCAAGGTTGGACATGCCGAGGTCGGACAGGCTGAGGTCTGACAGGCCAAGGTCGGACCGTTATCAACAAAGCCGAGGTCGGACAGGCCAAGGTCGGACCTTCATCAATAAAGCCGAGGTCGGACCATGATCAATAAAGCCGAGGTCGGACAGTGATGAAACAACTAGTCTGCTTTAGAATCCTCAAAAGGAATATTCTACTGAATATTCCCTCTAATTGTACCTTTTCTTTTAATATTTTTCTAGGAATGCCCCTTATAAATAGGGAGGGAGGACTTCCCAAAAAAGGGGGCTCTGGCTCTCGCTCCCTCTCCCTCTCTCTAGAAAATGTATAAACACATCTCTTAAAAGAGAAAAAGAGGATCTATGATCCCAGACCTTCATCTGATCCAAAAAGGGTCCAATGGTTCTTGTATTTTGTCTATCATTCATCTTTATCAAATGAATGAAGATCCGACTCACTCAAGATCGGGTGAATCTTTTCCTTTATTTACATTTTATTGCCACTTAATGCATCTATCTTTATGCTGTTAAATCAGGCCATAATCGCCACCAACATTTATGCTCAGCTATGTTTTTTCTATTCATATTATTCATCTCGGATCTAGAGTTAATTATCCTTAACTAGGATTTACCCCTTCATCTTTTTGATTGATTTGCTTAAAAAGAGTTAACATCTTTTGAGTCAAACAATTTGGCGCCGTCTGTGGGAATTTTCTAGTTAAAATTTTAGTTTCCTTTAGATCTAAAATTCAATTCCAACTATGGAACGTTTTCAGGGAAGCCAAACGAATTTGGTACACCAAATAGTTTTTGTATTTGATGCTTGTGCAAATGAGATACTAAAGAGTATTATATATTAAATATTACGTTGGCCAAGGATTTGTTGCCTGAATTTCTTGGGCAGTTAGCACACAAGTATCATGAAATGCTGATACTGCTACACATTTCTATCATTTAATTCATGCTCTCCACTTCCCACCTTTTTCTCTTAAACTGCACTCAAAAGGAATGTGTGTTGTCGGCCTCTAGGTCCAATAAATACGTTTGCTCTCCAAAGCTATTTGGAAAGCCTTGGGAGTTCCTGAAAATGAATTAGGCAAGTTGATTATAACTTGGTCAAATGCATAGAATCTAAAACTTGCTGTTGTAAAATTGCAGTTCAATTTATTTCATTTACAAGAGCATTTCTATACGTGTTTGCTGACGTAAGAAGGAATACAACAATTGATGTCTTCCTTGCAAATTTTAGTTTATTCCTTCTTTACAGTGGCCCAACATTATAACTTGGCAGCTAAATTACCACGGTTGAGAGGTGTGGTTCTGCACAGTGGCGTCCTTTCAGGCCTTCGTGTGCTTTGCCATGCCAACTTCACTTTTTGCTTTGACATTTACAAGCATTTTTGAGGAATGCTAACAGAGAGAGCTTTGGCGACATTCTCTATCTATAGCTTTAGTTTGACTGAAACTAGCTCTCAAGTATGGAGCACGGCGAATCATCCTCCGATATGACTCACCACTCGTCGTCAACCAAGTCACAGGGACTTTCCAAATAAAAGAACAAAGGCTACGAAAATATCAGGCACGAATCCACAAGCTACTACCCGAGTTTGACGAGTGTCAGCTCGACCAGATACCCCGAGCACAAAACACCGAAACAGACGGCCTTGCCAAATTGGTAGCGACCACTGAAAGAATAACCAGAGAAGAGAACGTGATCAAACTGAGGTAACGAATGCTTTTATTTTGTTTTAACTGACTATTTCTCCTAGTGGAATAAAAGTAGGGGCAGTCCCCCAGGAAATGCATCATATTCTCCAATGCAAGCAAAATTAAGAAAACTGGGACTCCCCCAGGAAATGCATCATATTGGGACTCCCCCAGGAAACGCATCATATTCTCCAATGCAAGCAAAATTAAGCAAACTGGGACTCCCCCAGGAAACATATCATATTCTCCAACGCAAGAAAAATTAAGTAAATTGGGACTCCCCCAGGGAACCCCCTACGGCCAAGGGCCATCGCCAAAAAAATTCGCCTCGTCCGAATCAACAACTCGACCTCGTCCGAATCAACATTCGGCCTCGTCCGAATCAACATTCGGCCTCGTCCGAATCAACATCTCGGCCTCGTCCGAATCAACATCTCGGCCTCGTCCGAATCAACATTCGACCTCGTCCGGTTCGACATTCGGCCTCGTCCGAATCGACATCCGGCCTCGTCCGAATCAACCTTCGACCTTACGGCCAAGGGCCATCGCCAAAAAGAAGAATTCGGCCTCGTCCGAATCAACATTCACCCTTACGGCTAAGGCCGTCGCCAAAGGAAAGAGTTCGACCTCGATCGAACAACGACGGGTTAGCATTTCGACAAGATCGAAATAACACCCCTACAGCCAAGGCCCTTCGTAAAAAAAAAAAAGAAGAGTTCGACCTTGATCGAACGATGACGGGTTAACATTTCGACAAGTTCGAAATAACACCCGTTAAGGCCAAGGGCCTTCGCCAAAGAAGAGGAATTCGACCCCGATTGAACGACGGGTTAACATTTCGATAATTTGAAATAACACCCTTTAAGGCCAAAGGCCTTCGCCAAAAAGAAGAGTTCGACCTCGATCGAACAACGACGGGTTAATATTTTGACAAGTTCGAAATAACACCCTTCAAGGCCAAGGGCCTCCGCCAAGAAGAAGTGTTCGACCTCGATCGAACGATGACGGGTCAATATTTCGACAAAATCGAAATAATACCCTCTAAGGCCATGAGCCTTCGCCGAAGAGAATTCGAAATGTCCCTAAGGCCAAGTGCCGTCAGAAAATATAAAGGGAAAGAAAGACCGGGACTCACCATGCGAGAATCTACCTCGTACCAAAGTCGCGAAAAACAAAAACACGGAAAAGTACAAGGCGAATAACAACGAAAAATTCTTCTTTATACAAAGTCACTGAGCAAATAGTCGCAGATTACATACGACCTGGATCAATGATCAAAAAAGACAGCTATCTTTTCACTCGGTGTCACCATCGCCACTCTCTTCACCACCATCTCCAAGATATTCTCCCTCGGCATCGACATCCTCAGCTGCAACCCATACTAGTCGACCTCCCCATCCGAATTTCTCGAACTGCGATTAATGAAGTCCGCTCACCGAGCTCGACCAAGAGACGACCTCGATAAGCGGAGGGACTAACTGTATGGGTCAAAATTCGACCAGAGAAATTCGGCACGCGAAGACATAAGGCCAAGGTCGGACAGGCCAAGGTCGGACATGCCGAGGTCGGACAGGCTGAGATCGGACGGGCCAAGGTCGGACCGTCATCAATAAAGCCGAGGTCGGACCATCATCAATAAAGCCGAGGTCGGACAGTGATGAAATAACTAGTCTGCTTTGGAATCCTCAAAAGGAATATTCTACTAAATATTCCCTCTAATTGTACCTTTTCTTTTAATATTTTTTTAGGAATACCCCTTATAAATAGGGAGGGAGGACTTCCCAAAAAAGGGGCTCTGGCTCTGGCTCCCTCTCCCTCTCCCTCTCCCTCTCGCTAGAAAATGTATAAACACATCTCTTAAAAGAGAAAAAGAGGATCTATGATCCCAGACCTTCATTTGATCCAAAAAGGGTCCAATGGTTCTTGTATTTTGTCTATCATTTATCTTTATCAAATGAAAGAAGATTCGACTCACTCAAGATCGGGTGAATCTTTTTCTTTATTTACATTTTATTGCCACTTAATGTTACTTAATGCATCTATCTTTATGCTGTTAAATCTGGCCATAATCGCCACCAACATTTATGCTCGGCTATGTTTTTTCTATTCATATTATTCATCTCGGATCTAGAGTTAATTATCCTTAACTAGGATTTACCCCTTCATCTTTTTGATTGATTTGCTTAAAAAGAGTTAACATCTTTTGAGTCAAACAAATACGACAATATAATTAATGCTAACGGTAAGAAGTATCACAGGATAATAAGAATAACAATAACTATATCAGAGACAAAATAATTACAAAAGGAACACTACTCAATACAGAAAAAAGAAACTTATATTTTCTATCCAAACTGAACAAAGCGTCGAACCAAATAAATCCAAACGTAAAGGAGAAAAATTAAATGGTAGTACTAAATTTAATTTTGATTTTGAAACGGATAGAAAAAGGAAATGTCTAAAAACCATACGAAACAACCAACACACACCCCACGGAGGTAAAAAAGGTGCCAATCTAAGGGCATTGTCGTTATTCTCATAAAAGAAAATGGCAATTGGTACCAATCTAAACTTCTCATTCGCTGTATTTATCGGCTCTGGTCTTTTTATTATTCTTACCCCTCTCAGTATTTGGCGTTAATCTCAGGCTTCCATTTCTCTCATTCTCTCTCTACATCTCTCTTCATTAGATCCCTCTTTCAAAAGCTTCTTTCAGGTTATTCTTAATATTTCATCACTCATATATTCATTATTGTGTTTGATTTATAGTGAACTAGCTAATCTTATTAGAGTTTTGTGTTTTTAAACATAATTCAGTCTTCAGATTACTTTCTGTTGATTGGAGATAGATTTTGTTTGGTTGATTTGTATCTATAATTCGATAAAAGTAGTGTTAAAATCAACATTTCCCTCTTTTTGGTGGAAATTTTTCGCAACATTTACCGCTTTCGGTGCTTACATTTGATTTGAGGTTATTTGTTTCACGTTTAGGCATTCTTAGCTGCGGATTCTTTTTTTTTTCTTTTGTGTGTGTGGTTGATTTATGATATGAATCTGTGGTGTTATATATTGACCTTAAGATTAAATCAAGTTACCCTTCGATCTATGATTGTATTTTAGAGCGGTTTGAATTGTGAATTTAAATACGCAACAAATCCACTCCATTCATTCCATTTTATGATATTCGATAGGTCACGGAGTTTATGTTGTTATTTGGAGTTTATGATGTTGTTTTTTAGTTATATACTGTGTCAGTGATAATGGAGGAAAAATTATTAAAATAATATTTGAAAAGTTAGTTTCATTGAAAATCACATCATATCAAAGTTTAAACTTTGAACAGCTTAATGAATTTAAAAGTGTTTTGCATTTAAATTTTGATTAAATCTTCGAGTGGTAAAGATCGATAATAATTTCTGTGTTGTTGAAACAAGTAATATGGAGTAAGAATTGAGAGGCTGGTGAAGGAAAATGTTTTCTGTCGGTAAGTGATTGAAGTCATTTCCCCTTTTTTAAGAAAAATATTGTTCGTTAACACAAAACCAGGAAATGAATCTATCATGGAAAATATTTAGCAGGAGATGTTTTGCTTCTTAGTATGAGACAGCTGTTGTAGAATAAGATGTTAAATATCTTGAAACATTGCAAAAAACAAAGAGTGATAAAAATTGGGGAGGCAGGCGTTTGTACCCGTTTATCAGTTGATGGATAAATCCAATTTATATTTGTTAATGTATTTGATTTTTTGATCTAGTGCATTTTTTTCAATAGGGATCATCAACAAGAAGGGGAAATGGGGCTAACATTCACCAAGCTTTTCAGCCGGCTTTTCGCCAAGAAGGAAATGCGAATTCTCATGGTTGGACTTGACGCAGCTGGTAAGACCACCATATTGTACAAGCTCAAGCTGGGGGAGATCGTCACTACTATTCCTACCATTGGTATGTACTTCAGTTAAATCTAGCTTTGTGATTACAAAATTTACATTTTTGTTTCCGTATAACTTTCAGAGCAACATCTAAATTACCTCTGCTGCATAACTTTAGAGTTTCATACACGTAAGCTATGGTTAGATATTTCTTTCCTCCAAAGAGAATCCACTATAGGATAACTTATGATTTGTTGAAAGTGTAAAATTTTGGATACATTAGAATTTTAGCATTCATTGTATAACTTTTTACAAATGGCATATAGAAAGGCACTTCTTGAATTAAATAATTATTCAGCATTAGCATCTTTGATCAAATCTGGTAACATTGGTTGTATATGCATCTGGTGCTGCATCATCCTATTTGTTTTTGTAATTTTTCTGGCCTATTATGTTAAATGATGGTCTACCAGGCTGACATTTCTTAATAGAATGAGGTAAATCTTTCATTTTTTTTGGTGATGAGCTGGAAGGAGGAAATAATTTGTGTTTCTGCTGCATTTTTTTGGTTTTAAGATGAGCATGTTGTCTGTAATTCTTAAAAAGCTTTTCTTTAAATAGTTAAATACACATAAAAGAGAATATTCTTTTCTTGATGGACTAAAAAGGAAAGTGTTTGTTCCGTTTCTCCTTTGCTTTTGTTTACACAACCTAGGCGAAAGTGTTGTTGTCAATAGTTAATCAACCCTGTTAGCTTAATCCAAACTTTGTAATTGTATGCTTATAAATATGTACTGCTTGGATGTGCTCTCAGTCATAATTGATAATTTGCAGGTTTCAATGTGGAAACTGTTGAGTACAAGAATATCAGCTTCACTGTTTGGGATGTTGGGGGTCAGGACAAGGTATATATTGTCTTTAACTGTCTAAAGACTATAAGTTAACATAGCCTTTTCAAAAAGACTATAAGTTAAACATAAAGTTTGGTTTGAGTTTGGTTTGTTGTAGTAAATGGGAGATAAGTCTTTATCTTTTTCCTTTTTTTTGATAGTTGAAATAAAGCTTTCTTTTCTTCCCCTCTTCTTAGTTTTCCCTTTTTCCAGACTTCTTTGTGTTTTCCTGGTAGCTCTCTTATGCCCAAATAGTGAGGCCTTCGATTTAACTACTTAAAACATTCAGCTTGTTTCTTTTTCTTTGTCAGATTCGTCCATTGTGGAGGCACTATTTCCAGAACACTCAGGGTCTCATTTTCGTGGTTGATAGCAATGACAGAGACCGTGTTGTTGAGGCAAGAGATGAGTTGCACAGGATGTTGAATGAGGTAATAATTCTCGTACCTTTTTTTATTACTATTATTTTTGCCTTGAAATGAGATTCAGCCTCTAAATCTTTAAGCTGCATGGTAAAAAAAATTATGCGCCTATATAAGTGAATATTACTGAAATGTTCTTGAGTTGCCTGTGATATTTCATATTTGTACTAATATGACATATAGCGTGCCTAGTCTCTAGTCTACTAATATGTCTGAAATTCATTTGGTGTGTGCAATGCTCAACTACCCTATATTTGTCATGAATGTATAAGCTTTGTAGGTATAGGTTCTTGAAATCTGCATTATGTAGTAATTCGCTCTTCAAATCTGATACTCAAATCCTTGAAATAACTACTTCACTAGCAATTGCAACAGTCTTCTTCAAGAGTGTTTCAACTACCTAACACACATTATGTACATATGCTCAACTCTATCTCTTGAGTTGGCGTTCAGAACTTGATAGTTTTATATCATTATATATGACAGGAATATTTAAAAAGAAAATTTTTAGCTTTAGGAAAAACATATCAACCTTAGGGTAATATAAGATGGGATCATGATGCACAATGTACAATAGAGAAGAATTTCTGTAAGAGAAATCCAAAATTAATATAACTTTACCAAAGCAGATATTAAGGCAGTTTTGGTGACATGACTAGAATTACTATGCGATTAAACTAAATACTGTTTTCTCTTTAATCTTGTTTTAGTTAAAGCTTGCACCATAACGTTATTCAAGCTAAGAAATGAACTGGTTTTCCTTTTTACTTTTTTCTATAGATACTAAGTAATCAGCTCTTGATTTGGTGATGATTCGTGGATATGGACAGAATAATAGGTCAAAAACATGGATGAGAAAACCTAAACACTTGTCATCTTTGATGAGATTAATCTTGGATGGAACTTAATTCGATGCAGTTTGCAATTCCTAAACAGCGCCTTGAAGATATTACCAATTTAGGATGTCGAAATGGATTCTGGCTAGTGTTGTAATTTACCCTTGTGATTTTGATAGTCCAACATCAAAATCTTAAATTGCTCATATTCTTATCTCATTTGGTTGGAGCTAGAGTAGCTTCAAGTTAGAGGGAGTTAATTGAGTTAGATATAAATGTACTTTGATCTGGGTTTTATAAAAATATGTCAAAAGTCTGACACTTCACATGGTATTCTGCATTATGTGATAAATTTGTATGACAAGGTCGGGGAGTAATAGTACTAATGATCTCCCAGCTTTAACGAAGAAAAAAGAATTATGCTGTTCCAAAGTAAAAGCAAACTGGATAACTTGTGATTAGGGTTTGCACCTAATGCAATTCAATTTGTCGGTGTTTCAAGGGGAGCCAAAGATGCTGTTTCGGTGATTTTGAATTGTCAACATTTTCTTCCTGAACAAATGGAGTGGTGTCATGTCGATCAACGCCTAAGTTGCTCCGACACGACGGTTTAGATGCCGCACCCTTGTTGACACAACACTAGTATGAGTGTGGGTATGGGATCCGTACCGTATCTCTGGTCAAACAATTTTGGGTACTTTGACTACGACGGACGATTCGAGACGAGATACAATTTGATTCTTGAAATTAGAACCAAAACTAGGGTAAATTGGGAGAAAATAAATAGCCTTATCCAGGAAATCAATCTTTTACTTATCTACAACTTGAGATTATAAAGAAAATCCACAATTTCACAAAAATTCTCATAATTTAGAGATACTTTTATTTAGCCGGATCACCGCACCCGTACTAGGATCCATATCCCCGAATCTTAGAATTTACATCTCGAAGGATCTGTCTGACACCCGCACCCCTGTCTGAGCAACTTAGCTCAACCTCTTTTGCTCGTCTCTTTGATACATTAATATTTAAAATGTTATTGCTGGTAAGATGAATCTCATAGTTGAGACAGTTCAATTTCTTTGGTCCTTTGTGAAAATGATATTTTGACTATTTTGGAGAAATATGTAAAAGAGAAGATTCTTAGTTCTGCTCTTTATTTAATCAAACAGGCAGAGAACTTGCAATTCTTTGCTCTATGTTTGCACTGATAAATTTGTATGGTTGAGTCCTTATTTTTTGCTTAAAAAGAACACAGACAAAATAGTGAAGGGTGAATAGGAGCAGGTAGCAGTCAACAGCTTATATGGAAACCACAATATCTGAAATGCTTTTACTGCTCATAGCTCATGCTTACTATGCTCATCTATCTTCCAGACTTGTATCCATGTAGCTAGTTTCATTATTTATTAAACAACAAACTGCAATATAAACTGGGGATCTAGGATTTGTGTTAGACTTTACCGATTGGTCCGTGGAGTTTATTTGTCATTACTCTGTCCCAGGATGAGCTTCGGGATGCTGTGCTGCTTGTTTTTGCTAACAAACAAGATCTTCCTAATGCAATGAACGCTGCTGAAATAACTGATAAGCTTGGACTGCACTCTCTCAGGCAGCGTCACTGGTAGGCACTCTGCTAGCAGTTATCATTTCCCTTGCTTCTGGAGGCACTAAATTTTTTCTTGCTGCTTTCAGGTACATTCAGAGCACTTGTGCAACATCTGGAGAGGGGCTCTACGAGGGTCTTGATTGGCTTTCTAACAACATTGCCAACAAGGTACGTGTACGCTTTTTAATTGATTAAATTTGGCTTTGTATCTTTTTCTTTGACGATGGAATTACCTTCTCTTTGTTTATCTCTCATGTCCTCTATTTACAGTCCTAAGGTGACGGAGAGTTTTTGCGGGTTGATCCTGGATGCAGGCGTGTTTTTATCTAGTTTCTTTTCCCAAGTCTGTGGCTATGAACATTGTCTTGACAGGCATTTTGCATCTTGTTAGGGCTTAATGAAATGGCTCTGTAATACTACAGTTTGGAAAATATGTAATGATGTTTGTCTAGGTTAAAGTTAATTTCATAAATTTGTAAACAAAGACTAGTTCTTTATGAGAATTTTGTTAATGGTTAATGATTGTACTTTCTATTTTTTTACCGCTTAAATAATACTTTTTGAGATTAGAAATGGCTACCTCTTCTAGTTCCTAATGCAGACCTCTTTAATCTACATGATTGAAAGTCGGTGAATCTCTTAGGTTTTGACATGAAAATGATAGTTATACTTGGCCAAATTGTCCATAAACTTGTAGTTTCTTTGGGCTATTTGTTTTTCAAAAAAGTATCGATTACATCAGGGAGGGTGGAAGTGAAGAGGATGCTATGCTACCAATGGGGTTTGAACCATCAACCCCAATCGTGGGAGGCAAGGAGCTCACCAAGTGAGCTAGCCTTAATCCCCAAGTGTGGTGGCAAAATGGACGATTAATTACCCATATTATCCACTAAAAAATGGGTTGGATAATGATTTTATTAAAAATGGGTCAAATTTTATCCATATTATCCATTTAAAAAATGGATACCAGATAGATAACTATTGAGTTTAACTTTTACATTTGGAAATACTCAAATTGAGGGTTCCTAAAATTTAGGAGACTAGGAATCCTCCCAAAAGTGATCATATTCAAGAAGTCATGGATAACATGGATATCCATGTTATTCGTTGGTTAACTCATTTTTATCCATATTAAATATGGGTCGGATCGAATATTTTTTTCTCTTTTTATATTATTTGATTTTGATCAACTTATAACTGTCACACCTCTTTTTTACCCAAGGGGGATTAGGGGAAATTGACGGTAGATATGGGATGAGGAGATCACGGTGGTTGTCTGGTGTGAATTTGGGTGGGATTGGAGGTGGTCCGCCGTCGTGAGGTGATTTCCGGGCGGCGGAGGACGGCGGAGACAATGAAGGGTTTGGGGGAGGCTAGGGTTAGTTAGAGTGAGAGAGATGAGAGACTGAATGAGGGGGTCTTTAGGGTTTTTTTTTTGTGGGGGAGGGGGGGGGGGGGTTCGGACAGTTTTAAGGAGTGGAGAAGCCAGTTCTCAGCCCTAGGATTAAAGAAGTTGAACGGCTCAGATCAAACGCTAGCCAAACGACGTCGTTTGGTATTTAAGAGGGACCGGGTCGGATCTCTAAGGGTTTGGGCTAAATTTTGGCGGATTTAGGCATTTTTTGGGCCATTTTAAGCTTTGGCCCAGCTTTAACACATTTCTTTAATCTTTTTATTTTAAATCCTAAATTAATTAATTTAAAAACCTAGATTAGGTCCTAAATCAAATCTAAATTATGAAATAAACCTAATAAACTATTACTGATATTTGATCAATTAATTAACTTTAAAATTAATGGAGGAACTTACTACTAATTTAAAACTAGAAACTAAAAATGTAAAAAATGAACAATTTTTTTTTGTGATTTTTATTTAGTAAAGCAATTAATTAACAATTTACTCCTAAAATACAAACACAAAACCTAAAATGCAATGCACGGAATTTTGACATTTTTGTGGTATTTTTCATGATTTTAAAGATATTAAATGTGCACAAAAATGCAAACAATTAATTAAGAAAATCCTACAAAAATTCTATAAAAGAACTAAAAATAATTTAGAAAACCTAATTTTTTAAATTTTTTGTTGGAGTATTTCTAGTCGGGCAAAAATCACGTGCTCACAACTGCCCCTCTTTGCTCGGAAACATGAATAGTTTTTGGGCAAAGATAAAATGAGCAATTACAAGCGATTTTTGCTCGTTCGGATACTCCCTGGGAAGCGTTTGAAAAGGTTTGACCGAACCTTGCTTCGGAGGTTGCCTACATATCCTTGGCTATAAAGGAATCAGGTCAGTGTAGTTCTGAAAATTTTGGTAGCTGGGACTACCGAATAGATGTGATTTCACTGTTGTTGCTGCTGTTTCTGCTTGCTGAGCTCCTTATTACGCCAAAAACCAAAATGAAAACTTAAACTAACTAAGCCTACCAGCTACGAGTTACAAGATTCATATCTATAAACCTTCTGAAGCTTTATCTTAAGTCTTTGCTGATTGTTCATGCAGACTTTGATCTGAATCTTGATGCTTGTTAGCTGCGAGTGCTGGTTCATTCTTCTTCAGCTTTTTGGATCAAGGCGGGGCAAAGCTTGTGACTTCAATCATGTCTTGAGCAGTCCACATCTTTTCTCCGTTTCTGCACTTTGAGTTCAATTCTTTTCTTTCCTTCTTTTCTTTATTTTGGATTGAGACTTCTTCTTTTGGTCGTCTTGAACCCTGTGTCTCGAGGTATAACCTGCTCAGACACCAAAACAAACAAATGAACGAAATTTTTTTTCCCCAGTTTTCACTAGGAAAATTTCGTGAGTTATTTGTAACCAAAACTTTATACTACTTCGTTATTGAAAGCAATAAAGATCAGGATTGTGTATCCTTGGGAAAAAGAGATTAGGGAGTGGAAACCCCGTATCTAAAATGAAATCAACTAGGGGTTGGAGACCCTAGGTTGGAAAAATCACCAGGTTATGGTAACCTCAACTAGGGAGTGAGACCCTATATTGAAAAAGTCATCAGGTTATGCTGGCATCAACTAGGGAGTGAGACCCTATGTTGGAAAAGTCATCAGGTTATGCTGGCATCAATTAAGGAGTGGGACCCTATGTTGGAAAAGTCATCAGGTTATGCTGGCATCAACTAGGGAGTGGGACCCTATGTTGGAAAAGTCATCAGCTTATGCTGGCATCAACTAGGGAGTGGGACCTTATGTTGGAAAAGTTGTAGCTAGAGATTGGAGATCCTATACTACCATGATTTGAACTTTTCTTCTTTTCTTTCTTTTCATTTCACTTTCCAGTTTTCTTTAAGTGAATGAGTAAAGAATTTGGAGGGGACTTCCCTTTTGGGTTGACTATTGTTACAGACCCATTTTAACCTCTGCGTAATTTTGCTTTTGTTGCGCCTAGGGGTGTTCGTCGGTCGGTACGGTATGGTATTTAGACATTTTGGTTCGGTATTTTCGGTATTCGGTTTCATAAAATGCTATACCAATACCGTACCTAATTAAATTCGGTATGGTTCGGTTTTTCTCCTTTCGGTTTCGGTTTATTCGGTTCGGTAACTTCGATTTATTCGGTTTGAATACTAACTAGTGCATAGAGTCATAGACTATAATATTCTTAATTAAAGTACTCAATAGTAAAACATTGAAAACGTTTGTTGACAAAAGTTTTATCCAAAAACTAGCAAATATCAACCAAAGAGAGAAAACTATACATAAAAGAATAAATTTGATCAAGCAATGTCTTATTACTTGATTAGAGTTAATTGATGAACTTAGAGAATAAAGGAAGGTAAAATTTTAGATTTTTATATTTATGTTATAATTAATAAAATGTGTATTGTGTAATATAATATATATTTCGGTACGGTATCGGTATTTCGGTATTTCATATTAAAATACCAAATACCATACCTAATGCCAATATTTTTTAAAACTTAAACCAAATACCATACCGAATACCAAAATATCGAATACCAAATACCATAATTTTTGGTTTCGGTACGGTAATTCGGTATTTACCAAATTATGCACAGCCCTAGTTGCGCCTGCTTCGTGCAAGGCTGCTTTGAATTATACCTGTTTTCCCTGTTTTTAAAACAAAGAACAATTTGTCAGTTTGAAAGAGTTTGGTTTCGGTACGGTAATTCGGTATTTACCAAATTATGCACAGCCCTAGTTGCGCCTGCTTCGTGCAAGGCTGCTTTGAATTATACCTGTTTTCCTTGTTTTTAAAACAAAGAACAATTTGTCAGTTTGAAACAGTGGTTGGTTTTGTGGCCTTGAGCATTTCAATCACTTGATCTTGGCCCGTCTTCTTCAATAACGATCTCCATTGCTTGCTTGCTTTTTGGGGATTAGTTTCATTCCTAAACCCGGGGATCTTGACTTTTCCCAAACTTTTACATGATGGTTAACCCGTGTGGGACTTGGCCTTTTTCCACCTTATTTTGCCTTTATGGGCATTTGACTTTGATTTTCTTTCTTTTCAAGAGTTTTTGATTCTGAAGCATCGGCCATCATGGACAGTCGAAGTCGACTTGATGCACCTGTTGAGGCTAGGTGACTTTCTTGAATATTGGCTATTTGTCAAACAAAACCCTGTAAACCAATCTTGCCATCTTTTCTTTGTTTTAATTCGGAACAAAATTAGTCCGAAAGGGATTTAAAGAAAAATAAACAATGGCAGGATAATGAATTTAAACGAGAGGTGTCCCTTTCGGGGAAAGGAAAGAAGGACTTATCTGGAGTACATGCGGACTTCAATGAACATGACATGCCTCTTGGACTGGATACCCGATCTGCGTACACCGTCCAACTCTCATAAACCCATCATAACTCATACCTCAAAACTGAGAAACCTTGCAAGGACTTTATCAATACCGATGGCTGTAAGGATCCCCTTTTCGATCAGTGGCGCCCTTTGCGGGTTTTCACCAGCTGACCTCTCTCATTTCGCTTCTCACTGTCGCCTTATAGTGCTCTTTGCGAGTTTTCACTAACAAGACTCTCTCATTTTCAATTTCTCTGCTTACGATCGCCCTATGATGCCCGTGTGGGTTTTCACCAATAAGAATCTCTCATTTTATTTCTCTCATTTGATTGTATCAGATCCAAGTAACCATATCCTTCAATTTTGAACATCTTTACCGATTGATCGGAAGGACTTGAACAAGATTTAGGGTAAAAATAATTTGAATTGAATTACAACTTTGGAACCTTTCAGGCGAAACCATCGCCTGTCATTGTAACTTCTGCCCCAGTTTCAACTTGAGGAAATATGGATTTTTGTTTTGGTGTGACTGAACCCCATAGGGAGGTTGCCTACGTATTCTTTCGGAATCAAGTCGAACGTAGTTCAAGGAACTTTGTTTTTGATTTTCTTTTGTTCTTATGTTTCGTTTCATTTTTTTTAAAAACATTTTCGAATTCCAAAGAGGGTAATCAAAGAAAAGTAACCGGCTCAAAGGGTTTGCAAAGGGTTGACAGTGTTTGGGTAACGAGAATGAAAGCCTTCATCATCCCAATCGAAGAAGTTTAGTA